GACCTGAACCTGGTGCTGCCATGCCTGGAGTACCACAACAACACGTGGACATGGCTGGACTTTGCCATGGCGGTGAAGAGGGACAGCCGCAAAGCCTTGGTGGCACAGGTACGTGCCACCACATCCCTCTTCCTGCTCTGGAGGCTGCCAGAGCTGCTCTGCCCAGGATGGAGATGGTAACCCCGGGGTGGGTGGCACGTTCCCCAGCATGGCAGGCAGCTGCCGTGGCTCGGCAGCTCAGGCTGTCACCCAGGGTTGCTGAGCCCCCTGACTCCGGGGCAGGTGATCAAGGAGAAGCTGCGCCTGAAGCCGGCGGCGGGCGCGGAGGCCCGGGGGAAGCTGGAGAACAAATCCGACGGGACCATCCAGCAGCAGGAGGAGGACGAGAAGGCTCGGCTGCTGATCGGGCTGAGCGTGGGCGAGAAGAACCCCAGCAAGAAGTCGATCTTCGGCAGGCGCAAATGATGGCAGCACCCGGCAGGCCGGGAAGGGACTTGGGGTGCCCCGTGCTCCCCCCTTGGGGGGGCACCCCGAAGGTGAAGGGGGGGCTGTGCTGCTCGGCGGTGCCTGAGGAGGGCTCAGCCACGTGCAGGCCCTCGGTAGCCCCGTTGTTGTGGGGCAGGGGTGGAGCAGCACGGGGATGTGGGGCACAGGGTGCTCCGGGGCTGCTTTGTGGGGTGCAGAACCCTGGTGCCAAGGGCCCCTGCGAGCTTCCCCCCCTCCCTGCTGTGCGGGTGCTGGGCCCAGCCCCTGGGCCTGGTGAAGCAGCAGGATCGCTCCGGGCTGGGAAAAAGGGGAACGGGAGAGAGTTTAAATAAAGAGTTTTTAATTTGGAACAGGCTCGAGCCAGTGGCTTGTTTCTTGCCTCACCCTGCAGTGCTGGGCTCAGCACCATGCCCCATCCTTGGGGGCCTCACCCCTCGCCCTTCCCCAGCAGTTGCTCAGGGCACCCCTGGGCTCAGCCTGTGCCTGTACCCCTCTGCAGGGCTCAGCAGGCACTACAGGCACCCCCTCAGGGCTGCAGCACGTGGGGTGCAAAGAGAGAAGGAAAGGCTGAAGGGGGAGCCCCGGAGTGTGCAATGAGGGGGTCCCGGGGAGGGGCTGGGATCAGTCCTGGGGGGGAGTGGGATCAGTCACGGGTGGGTGAGCACCCCCAGGTGTGTAGTGGGGCTCCCGGACGGGGGGGCTCGGTCACGGGTGGGTGTCACCGCGCAAGGGGCAGCCCCGCCGCCGAGCCCCGGGGCGGGGGGTGGTCGCGGGCGGGGCGGGGCGGCGGGGTTATGTAAGGCGGCGATTACCGGGGACCGGGCCCGGGGCGCGGCCGGGCAGCGCCGCGATGGGAGCGACGAGCAGCGGCCCCGGCCCGACCCCGGCTCCGGTGCGGCCCCCCCAGGTGCGTGTGCGGCGGCATCAGCCCCGGGGATCCCCCCGGGCATCTCCCGCCCCGGGGTCCCCCCGCTGACGCTGTCCCCGGTTCCGCAGGGCCGCGCCGTGGGGTCGTGGGTGCGGGCGCTGTTGAGCCGAGCAGGGTCGGTGCCGGTATCGGTACCGGTGCCGGTACCGGGGCTCGCCTTGGCCCCGCGGGGCCCCGCCGAGGAGCCGCCGCTGCCCGGGTGGCCGCTGCCGCAGCTCGTCTCGTTGTTCCTGCCGGAGTTCCCCGTCCGCCCCTCCGCCCGCCAGCAGCAGCTCAAGGTGCCGTCCCGGGGTCCCCACCCTCCGAACGGGGTCCCGCTGCATCCGAGCGGGATCCCCGATCGTCCTTCCCCGGGCGCGTCCTGCCCGTGCATCCCTCCCCGGCAGTCCCGGGCGCCCTAGCGGGTCCGCTCGCACCCTGTACCGGTGTCCCTGCTCGTCCTACCGGGGTTCCTGCACGTCTCTACCGGGGTCCCCCAGCGCCCTGAGCATCCTCCCGCGCCGTCCGTGCCTCCCGTTCCGCCATCCCGGCATCGCCGACTGCCTTACCGAGCTCCCCTCGCACGCTCCGCCGGCTCCCTGCGCATGCTACCGGCGTCCCCGGCCGTTCCGCCGGGTCCCCTTCCATCCCCGCCGCCGCCGGTGCCCGTGTCGGGTCTCGGTGTGTTCTACCGGGGTTCCTCCGCACCCCACCGGAACGTGGCAGCCCACCGAGGTCCCCTGTGTACCCGCGGGTGCATTCTGTCAAAATCCACCGCTGCCGCCTTGTCCCAGTCCCCCGTGTCCCTGTGCCCCACACTGGGTCCCCGTGAATCCTGCTGGGGTCTCTGTTGGGTCCTCCCGGCCCCCATGTGTCCCCAGCGTCTGCTCGGGGTGCTCTGTACCCCTCACCTTACCGCACGCAGCACCCCAGCCCGAGCACCCCAAATCCATCTCCACGGCGTGCTCAGCCCCTGCTCCTCTCCTCAGATCCTGGGCTTCGTGGCCAAAGGCTCCTTCGGGACCATCCTCAAAGTGCTGGACTGTGGCAGGGAGAAGGTCTGCGCCGTGAAGGTGGGTGCTGGCCCCTGGGTGTCCCCACCTGCCCTTGTCCCCCCACCTTGACAGTGCCTCGCCCCCCAGGTTGTGCCCAAAGTGGAGGTGCTGCGCCGTGACACCCTCAAACAGTGCAAAGAAGAAGTCAGCATCCAGGTGAGGGGGGGCCCAAGAGGGACCCCAGCCCGTGCAGGGGTTTAGGGTGGCTGCAGGGACGCCAGGAGCCCGTGGGAGCTGCGGATGGAAGGCGGCAGAAGCGGGGTCCCCGGGGTCCCCTCGCAGCCCCTGCCCCGGGGCCGCTCACTCTGTGCGCTTTTGTGTCCCCAGAGACAGGTCAGGCACCCGTTCGTGCACGGGCTGGGGGACAGCTGGCAGGGCCAGCGCCACCTCTTCATCAGTGAGTGACCATCTGCCCGCGGGCTCGCCCCGGCCCCCCCTGCCCGCGCACGTGTCCCCGCCGCCCGCACACGTGTCCCCGCACGGCCGCGCTCCCCCCGCCGCCCCGGGGCCATCCGGGCTCCCGGATCCCGGCTCCCGGCTCCCAGCCCGCGCCCACCGCGGCCCCGTGGGTGGGGACACGGATGGGGACAAGCCACGGCAGGGCAGGGATCAGTGTGGGGGTGAACAGAGCACCCCAGTGCTGGCGCCTGCCCGGCTCTGATGGCTGTGTCACCTCAGCGCCTGCAGTCTGTGTGTTCCCAGTGCCTGTGTGACCCCCAAGGACCGTGTCACTTTGGTACCTCGCGTGGTGCCAGGTGTTTGTGTGTTCCCAGTGCCCGCAGGGCTCTGCTGCTGATGTCACCCCGGTACCTGTATGTTCCCATGCCACCTCACTCATCCCTGTGTCACCTCAGTATGTCACCTGGTGCCCGTGTTGCCCTGGTGCTTGTGCTACCTTGCTGCCAGCGTGCTCCAGGCGCTTGTGCCCCCTTGCTGCCTCTATAACCCCAGCAGCGCTTCCACTACCTCAGTGCATGGCCGCGGTGCCCCCCCTGCACCCCTGTGCCCATGCCACCCCAGCGTCCCTCGTGCCAGCCCAGCCTGTCAGTGAGGTGTGTCACCTGTCCCCGCAGTGTGCCCCTACTGCAGCACCGGGGACCTGCACGCTCTGTGGCGTGCAGCCGGCTGCTTGGCCGAGGCCACCGTCCGCCTGTTCGCCGCCGAGCTGGTGCTGGTGCTGGGTGAGTGGCCCTCCACGCTGGGGACAGCCACCGGTGTGCAGGCAGGGTCAGCCACCTGCAGGGTGGCAGTGGGCGCTGTGCTGGGAGGGGACACACGGCACTGATGGCTCTCTCTTGTCCCCAGTGTACCTCCACGACCTGGGCATCATGCACAGAGATGTCAAGGTGGGTGGCAGTGGGGCTGGGGGCTGGAGGATGGGGTGGGGGGGATCTCTGAACCCCCCAGCATGGAGAGGCCACCTCAGTGCCTGTCTCATTTCAGATGGAGAACATCCTCCTGGATGAGAGAGGTAAGAGCCTGGTGGGGACACCCCCTCCGTGGGGACAGCGGGGACACCCTCTCCACGGGTCCCACGTGGTGTCTGGCCCCACAGGGCACCTCAAGCTGACGGATTTCGGCCTCTCCCGGTACCTGCAGTGGGGCGAGCGAGCCCACACCATCTGTGGCACCCTGCAGTACATGGGTAAGGGGGGCTGTGCTGGGGGGCTGTGCTGGGGGGCACAGACCCCCGGTGCTCACCCACCCTCCCCACAGCCCCGGAGGTGCTGAGCGGGGGGCCCTACAGCCATGCAGCCGACTGGTGGTCCCTGGGAGTCCTGCTCTTCGCCCTGGCCAGTGGGGAGGTAAGGACCACAGGGCAGGGGGACAGGGGCACTTCAGGGAGACCCCGAATTCACTCTCTGCTCCCCCAGTTCCCTGTGGCTCCGGCGGGGGACCACGTGGCCATGCTGGAACGTGTCAAACAGAGCAGCTACGAGAGCCCACCCGAGCTCAGCCCCGAGCTGGCCCGGCTGCTCGCTGAGGTAACCCTGCTGCCTGGATTTCGGGGTCCCTGGGCTGGATGCCGAGATTGCCACTCTCACTGCCCCCTCTCTGCCCGCAGCTGCTGTGCCACAACCCCCTGTACCGCCTGCGCTACCTGCACCACTTTCAGGGCCACCCCTTCTTCCGCGGGGTGGCCTTCGACGCTGAGCTGCTGCAGAAGGACCCGGTGGTGGTGGCAGTGGCCCCGCGACCGCCCGAGCAGCCCCCACCCGACCCCGCCACTTTCGCCGACTTTGACTGCGACCTCGCCGCCCTGCCGGACCGGCCGTGGCCCGGCTGAGCCAGCACGGCTGGGACCCTCGGCATCGCTCAGGGACATCCCCCCACCCCGGCAGCGGGTCGGACCGCGCTGGGCCGGGTCCCCAAGGGGTTACCCGGGTACCCCCCGGGGACCTCAACTGTGTACCTCTCCCCGCGGGAGCAATAAACCGAGAGCCGCGGGCACTGCTGCGGGCGCTGCCCTGACTCGTGCTGGGCAAAGCGGGACCAACGGGGCGGGGGCGCGGGGCTGGACCCCTCCCTCGGGGCAGCTCTGGGGGCTGTGTGGGGTGGTTTTCCCGGGGCAGGCGGTGAGGGAGGAGCCGAGTCCGCCTGCCCATCCTTCTGTCCCTCACTCCGTCCATCCGTCTGTCCGTTCCCCGGCGCGGTGGGGCGTGGTCAATGGATGAAGCCACGCCCACCCACCCGCCCATCACCGGCCGTGGCCCCGCCCCAACGGTCGCCCCGCGGGGTGACGCGCGCGCGGCGCAGCCAATCAGAACAGAGCGTGGTTTTCAAACGGGCGGCGCGCGGGCGGCGGCGGGCCCGGACCGGGAACCGAGACCGAGATCGAGACCGAGACCGAGACCAGCCTCCACCCAGCGGGCCCGGAGCGCAGACGGGAGCGGGGCCGAGAGCTGCCGTAGTCGAGGCCGAGGCCGGGCCCGGGAGCGCTGCCGGGCCATGCAGCGCGCCAGGACCCCCGCCGTGAGTGCGGGCCGCGTGGGGCTCGGTTTGGGCGCTCCGCTGGGGCGGCGGGTCCGGTGGGTGTGTGTGGTGGGGGGGAGCTGCCGGTGCTGCCCCGGTGACCCCCACCCCCGGTTCCCCGCCAGGCGCAGAAGCAGCCCCGGCGCACCCCGCTGCAGGAGCTGAAGCTGCAGTCGGGCGCCGACCGGACCAGCCTGACCCCCCTGCTCCGCCGGCTGCGGCTCAAGGTCGGTGTGCGGGGTAACCAACGGGACCGGTAACGGGGAGGGCTGCGGTGCACCGGAACCGGGAATTTTGGGCGGGTAGATGGCGCTGATGCAATGGGAGGGCAGGCGTATTTCCTGCATGGGGGAAATGGCTTTGGGTGCAGGGCTGTCCTGACCCCCTTTTCCCCCTAAAATGTCCTGTAGGACCATGACTGTGCCACCCCAGTGTCCTGTGCCCGGGGCCCCCGCAGCAGCATCACCACGGTGCCTTGCACCCCAGGAGCCCCGCGAAGTGCCACCATGGGCCCCCCCAGCAGCACCGCCCCAGGGCCCTGCACCCTGGAGCCCCCCAGCAGCACCACTGTGGAGTCCCCCAGGACCTCCACCCATGACCTCGGGACTCCCATCCTTAACCCTGGTGCCTCTGAGGCTCCCAGCAACGCCATCCTTGTACCTGGTGCTTTGGAGACCTCCAGCAGCACCAGCCCAGAGGCCCCTGGCAGTCCTGTCCCAGTGTCCAGCATGCCAGAGCTCCCTGATGACACCGTGTCAGCCCCTGTCAGCTGTCCAGTCCTGGGACCCAGCACTCAGGAACCCTCTAGCAGCACCGTGCCAGTCTCTGTGTGCAGCTCCATCCCAGTGCCCAGCACTCAGGAACCCTCTAGCAGCACTGTGCCAGCCTCTGTGTGCAGCTCCATCCCAGTGCCCAGCACACAGGAACCCTCCAGCAGCACTGTGCCAGTCTCTGTGTGCAGTTCCATCCCTCTGCCCAGCATCCCAGAGTGCTCCAGCTCCATCCGGGTGCCTAGCACCCCAGAGCCCTCTAGCAGCATCATTCCAGTCTCCCTGTGCAGTTCCATCCCTGTGTCTGGCACCCCTGTGCCTGGCACCCCAGAGCCCTCCAGCAGCACAATTCCAGTTCCTCTGTGCAGCTCCATCCTAGGATCCAGCACCCCGGAGTGCTCCAGCAGCACCATTCCAGTTCCCCTGTGCAGCTCCATCCTAGGATCCAGTATCCCAGAGCCCTCCAGCAGCACTGTGCCAGCCTCTGTGTGCAGTTCCATCCCTGTGCCCAGCACCCCAGAGCGCTCCAGCAGCACCATTGCAGTTCCCCTGTGCAGCTCCATCCTAGGATCCAGCACCCCAGAGTGCCCTGGCCACACAGTGCCAGTGTCCCCGTGCAGCTCCATCCCAGTGGGCAGCATCTTGGAGTCCCCTGGCAGCACCATGTGCAGCCTTGTCCTGGGGCCCTGCGCTCTGGAATCCCCTGGCAGCACCACCCCAGGGCTCCCCAGCATTATTAGCTCGGTGTCTTGCAACCCAAAGTCTCCAGGCAGCTCTGCTCTACCCCCCTGCAGTGCTGGGTCCCCTGGCAATGCCAGCACAGCCGCCTGCACCCCAGGGCCCCCTGGCACCACCTCCACTCCGCAGAAGACTCCTTTCCGCAGGTGGCGAGCAGCACCTCCAGACTTTTCCTGCAGCTCTGTGGCCTCTGAGCCCCCATCTGCAAATGGGAGTGCTGATCATCTGCATTGCCAAGGCACCCCTGAGGGAGCCGAGTTCCCCGTCCCTGTCCCCCCAGAACAGAGCCCACCTGGCCTCCCTCCCATTGAGGCAAGTGGGTTGGAGCCTGCTGGGTCAGAAGCCACTGTCACCCCTGTCACCTCGCCTGAATCAACCCTGGGTGCTGTGTCCTGGATGTTACCACTGGTGTGGCTGGAGAAGACCCTCAACACCTCGTTCCTGGTGGAATCCCTGCGGCACAGCCTGCCCCTCCGCAAGGTACAGCAGGATGCCAGCAGCAGTGTCACCCCCGTGCCCACTGCAGTCGCCAGCACCAGCACGACCCCAGTGCCAACTGTGGTCGCTGGCACCAGCACGACCCCAGTGCCAACTGTGGTCACTGGCACCAGCACGACCCCAGTGCCAACTGTGGTCGCCGGCACCAGCATAACCCCTGTGTCCACTGTGGTCGCTGGCACCAGCACGACCCCAGTGCCCACTGTGGTCGCTGGCACCAGGATGACCCCAGTGCCAACTGTGGTCACTGGCACCAGCATGACCCCAGTGCCAACTGTGGTCACTGGCACCAGCACGACCCCAGTGCCAACTGTGGTTGCTGGCACCAGCATGACCTCAGTGCCAACTGTGGTTGCTGGCACCAGCACGAGTCCAGTGCCAACTGTGGTTGCTGGCACCAGCATGACACCAGTGCCCACCACAGCCATTGGAACCAGCATGACCCCAGTGCCCTCTATGGCCACGGGCACCAGCATGACCCCGGTGCTCTCCGTGGCCACCGGCACCTTCATGACACCTCGGGACGTGTGGGAGAGGAGCATGAACACATCCAGGGGAAGCCTCCCCTGTGCCAAGGACAGCGCTGCGGAAACAGACTCCCTGCTCTGGCAGTAAGTATGAGGACATGCCCCCCTGGATGGGCTGTGGCACCTGTGGACTCTCCTTGCCCTAAGCCCCTCTCTTTGTCCCCAGCTGTCCCCGGGAGCAGCTGAAGACCCTGCCACGGGCAGAGCTGGAGGGGAGGCTGGAGAGCACCCTCATCATCATCGAAGCCCTCTCGCTGCAGCTGCGTGACTGGCAGGAGAGCCAGCGGCTGCGGCCTGGCGTGGGGCCGGCCAGGCAGAGGGACGCGCTCACACAGACTGACGCCACCGACCCCGAAGGGGTAAGAGTCCTCTCTGAGGTGATGCCACCCTGTCCCCCGCAGCCTCGGTGTCCTTGTGCCACTGGCAAGACAGTGACCCCGTCTGGGTTGGTGGAGTGGAAGTAAAGCGCGGCTGCTGCATCACGGCATCACGCGCCCGGCGCTGCATTATCAACCCGCTGAGTCTGCTGGATTTGAACCCTCGTGGGGGGAAACATCCCTGGTGCACGTGGCGGGAGGAGGGGAGGTGTCATGGCTGGCCAGCTCTTGCTGGCCCCAGGGTGGAGTGGGGCTGGTGTGAAGTGCCCTCTGCTCTGCCCTTGGGAGGAGGAGATCTACTGGCAGCTCAGCCTCGAGCTGCAGAGGAAAGCAGAGGCTGTGCAGTGGCAGTGGGGAGTAGAGCAGGATCTGCAACTGGAGCTGGGTGCCTGGTGGCTGTCACTGGCCATGAGTGTGCCAGATCTCAGCCACGCAGGGCACACGTATCCCCCTGGTGCTGCCTGTGCCAGCTGCCATAAGACCAGTGTCCTTGTGCCTTCCCCAGAGCACCTGGAGCAGCCAGAGCCTCCTGTTCCGGGGCCTCGCGGATGCCGCTTTTCGGAGCTTGCAGGATGTGCAGGGAGCCCTCGTGCAGGAGGTGAGCTGCACATCCCTCTGCTTCCCCTTCCCCTGGGTTCTGGGAGACCTGTTGGCACTCACAGCAGCTGTACCTGGTGCCTCACGGTGCTGTCACCTCCCACAGCAGGAGCAGGAGAGGACCCTGGTGTCCCAGTGCCAGGCTGTGCCTGAGAGTGCTCCCAGCAAGGTACAGAGCTGCCAGGGAGAGCAGGATGCCATCAGGCAGCGAGTGGATGAAGCCCTACAAGCCAAGGACCAGGTAAGGGGGCAGTTGTTGTGGGATTGAGGCAGTCTCAGTTGTCCTCATGCCTTTGGTGGGGCATCTTGCATCTCTATCCATTTCTGGGGATGAGAATCCCAGAGGAAGAAAATCCCCATGTGGAAGGCAAGAAGTGCTGTGTGATGGAGCCCTCTGGATGTATTTTTGGCACGGGCTGTGCCCCCCTGGGAGCAGGAGTCCTAGGCTGGTGCAGGCATGGCTCCTGGGAGTTTTTCCTTGTGTGACAGTGTGGTTGGAGCAGCATCCTCTCCTCTGCAGGGATATCTCTTCCTGGAGGCTTTCTGTGCCCACGCCAGCGCCCAGATCAGTGCCCGTGACCAGAGCCTGGCCTCCCAGCAAGAGCTGAGCATGCTGCTGGCCCAAGCCATCGACCTGCAGGTACTGAGTGTGGTGCTATCCCCAGCTACTCCACACTGGATCAGGGGCTGGAAGGGCATTGCCACATCCTGAGCTTGGGTGATGCTCTGCAGTGGGTGCACCAGAGGTTTTCTGGTGCTGCTGCTGGGAAGCTGCTGCAGATTTGGCCTCGGGGCTGGTACTTGCCTCTCTTTATGGCCATTAAATGTGGCTTTTCTACCACGGCAGTGCTGACTCATTCCTCCTACCCTACAGGCATCCCTGTCTGCTGAGACACAGTCTTTCCGGGAATTCTTAGATGCCACCTTTGAAAATCTGGAGAAGGAAAGGAGGGCCCTGGATGAGGAGGTGAGGCTCAGCCCGTGGGGCTCAGCCCCTCGCTGCCTTACCAGTGCTCTGTGCCCTGGGTGCCATGATCCATCCCATGTCACACAGCAGGACAGTGCCACGGCAGTGCCACACTGAGCTCTGCCTGGTGCTGTCTCCCTTCCCAGCGGGAGCAGATGAGGGCCCTGGTGTCCCAGTCCTGTGCCCTGTTGGAGCGTGTGCCTGGCAAGCTGCAGAGCTGCCTGGAGGAGCTGGCTGCCACACGGGAACGAGCAGAGGAAGCTCTTCAAGCCAAGGAGGAGGTACAGGGGTGCCTCCTCTCAGTGCTGTGAGGTGTCTGAGGCACAGGATGATTTGGGGCACCCCTTGGTGTGAGAACACCCCGTGGGGAAGAGCACCCCAGAGCAAGCACCATGTCTTCACAGGCATCCTGCCAGCTGCATGAGACCTTGGTGACCCTGCAGGCCACACAGGCTCAGCTGGAGCAGATGACAGTGGCCAACTCCCGCCTGGGCAAAGGTAGGGGTATGAGATGTGGGGGCTGGAGCTGCCCCATGCCCACTGCCCCTGTCCCCTTGCTGACAGCTCTGTCCCTCGCAGACCTGAGCTCCGTGATGATAAATCTGGCCAGCATGGAGCAGGAGCGGGATGTGCTGCAGCAGGAGAACGAGAAGCAATGCGAGGAGATGGCCCAGTGGGTTTGAGCCCTGATGTCCTGAACCCCATCCCACCTCTGGCCCCCAAAACACAGCATCCCCTGATCCCATCCCATTCCCTCAGGCTGGCACAGGAGAGGAACACCCTGCAGCAGGATTGCAAGGGGCTGTGCCAGGAGCTGCAGGAGGCCACCGAGTGCCGGGAGGTAGGAGCTGCCTGACCTTGTCACATGCTGCCTGCCCCCATCCGGCCTCTCTGGGAAGGCTGGCAGATGGCCAGGAGTGGGATTAGCCCTCCTACGGAGGGGGATGAGTTCGTGAAGGCGGGGGATGAGCTCGTGAGGGCGGTTGACATACCGCACGTAGTGCAGCTTTTCATCCTGCCCGGCAGGGATTCCCAGGGAGGGGGCAGGGCAGCTCTTGGAGATCGTTTTCTTGGAGATAAATTTCCCCTGCAGGCATGGAGCTGTCCCCCAGCCTGTCCTATGTCCCCAGCAAACTGGTTTTTAGGGTTTGGGCTGCTGGGATAAAGCTGCCCCTGATTAGAAACAGCACCCTGAGGCATGGGAGGGTCTGTGCTGGGGGTCCCAATGAGCCCCCTTGGGTCTTTGTTGGCTGCTCACGGCTGTGTCCCCCCACCCTCTTACAGTTCCTGGATCAGGAGAACCAAATGTGCCGCACGCAGCTGCTGGAGGTGGAGGGCAGGCTGAACTCCACGCTGGCCAGGCTGCAGGAGTGTGTCCTGCAGCACGATGAGCTGATGGAGTCCCACCAACGCCTGCGGTACTGCCCCACTCACCAGCTCCACTCAAACCCCTCTATTTTTGGGAAATCAAGCCCTTCCTGGGGTGTCAGAGGGGACATTTTGACCATGGTCACTGCTGCTCCAGCCAGGTGTGCTGGTCCAGGTGGGTGGGAGAGGCTGTGGGGAAGGCCAGCAGATCCCATCTTGAGGGAAGCTGCCTAAATCTGTGGGATTTGCACCATTGCTGGTTCATGGTGAGAGGCAGGCACATCCCCATCCCACACTGAAGGGAAATGCTGCTCCTGTTGAGGCTGATGCCATTCCACAGGGAAGAGAAGGCTGCCCTCAGCAAGGAGCTGGACAGCACCAAGGCCGAGCTCCTCAGCTTGCAGACAAAGAGGAACAAAGTTTCTTGGTGCTCCACGGACATTATGGAGAGCAAGATGCGGTTGCAGGAGCTCGCTGACTGCCTCAAGGCTGCTCTGGAAGAGCAGGTAGGAGCCCTGTGCTGGGGACAGGCACAACAGGATGGCCTGGGGAGGGTCACACATTTGTGGCTCTGCATGGCATGGCTTTGAGACTCTGTGCTTGCTGGGACAGTCACAAGCTGCACTCTTGTGCTGTACTCTCCTTCCCCTCTGAAGGATGATGATGATGCTCCATCGAGAAGCAAAGCCTGGACCCCGGGTCCCCGGGCCTCGGTCTGGCAGACCCCACGCCGTGCCTGGACCCCGGCCATCCGCACCCCGGCCTTCCACACCCCGGCCTTCCACACCCCACACCGCGCCGGCAGCTCCTTCGTGGGCAGCGTCCTGAAAGCTGTGGCAGGGAAAGGTGAGCTGGCACCCCCTCTCTGGGTTTTGGGGAGTCCCAGGATGGGGATTGCTCCCTCCCGTGCTGGGCACTGTGCAGGGCTGGGCACAGCTGCTGTCTTCTCTCGCAGATGCCAGTGAAACCACCAGAAGTGGGAGTAAAGTTGCCAAGGACAAACTTGCATCCATGTCAAAGGCAATAGGTATTGGGGCTGTCACCCTGTCTGGGACCCTGCTCTGAAGCTGCAGGGCTGCTGTGCAGAGGGATGAGCAGGCACGCCTTCCTTTGTGTGCCCTGGGGCTGATGTTCCCTCTGTGTTGCTCATGAGGCTCTTCCCTGCCTGCAGATCCTGAGGACACTCTGCTGGAGAGTGTGAAGGAGCTGAGAGCTGTGGTCTCCAGCCTTACCATGCTGAGCTCCCGCATCCAGGAACTGGAGCAGAGCGAGTTCAGGGCACTGCAGACAGAGATGTGAGTTCAGAGTGGGCTCGTGTCAAGGACTGGGCAGGGGCATCACTGTCCTGGGCATGGCCTTTCCTGCAGGCAGCCTGCCTGGGTCTGCCTCTTGCCTCAGCCCTGGATTAGACCTCTCCTGTCATGGCTAGATGGGCTTTTTCCAGCTGGCTGGGCTGGACCAGGTGTTTTCTCTCACCATGGGCCCAGGGGATGCCCAGGAGAGGGTTTGGTACCTGGTGCTGTGCTTGGCTGCGGTCCTGAGCCACTCACCACCACTGTCCTGTCCCAGCTCTGAGCTGCAGCTCCGCCTGGAGACAGTGACAGCTGAGAGCCAGGAGAAGGTGGATGCCCAAGCTGCCACCATTGCCAAGCTGAACAAGGCACTGAGGACCAAGCTTGAGGTAAGGCAGAAGTGGGCCAGCACTCACCCCAGGGCAGAGCCAAACTGGGACGGGCACTGATCTAGGACATGGAGAAATCTGGTGATGCCCCATGGGTGCTCCTGGCTTGTCTGACCTCCTCCAACATGAGAAAACCCGCTCTGGGTGCTGGGGGTGGCCAGGGCTGGGCACTGCCTGACCCTGCTTCTTCCTCCCTGTCAGAATGAGAAGGAGCTGCAGGACGTGGTGAAACAGCAGGAAGAGAAGATGTTGCAACTCATCGACAAGAGTGGGGAAGTCATGGTGTGTGATGGGGGCATGGGAGGACAGCACCCTGGGGGGCTGCTGGGCACAGGACCCCTCCCAGCATCCCTGTATCCCCTGTAGAGGCTGAAGGCAGAAGTCTCCGACCTGAAGCGCCTGCTCCAGCGTGCAGAGACAGAGGCCAAGGTGCTGTGGGAGGAGATGAGGGGCAAGGAGGACCAGGTGGACACTGCCTACATCCAGGAGCGGGTCATGCTGCGGCGGGAGGTGAGGCCGGGGAGCTGCAGGGCTGAGAGCTCCTCATGTCACCCCACCATGGACAAGGAGAGCTCTTCAGACCTTGCTCTTCCCACCCTGTCCTCCACTTCAGAGCTTTTCCCCACAGGGATCTTCAGCAGGGCTTGCTCCTTTTGCAGGTGGATAAACTGCGGCTGCTGCTCGTGGAAAAAGAGAACGAGAACATACGGCTCAATGACAACTACCAGGAACAGGTATGGGAAGCCTCAAGGGGCTGCCCTGGCTCCAGACATAGAATCAGAATGGTTTGGGTTGGAAGGGACCATAAAGGTCACCTAGTTCTAACCCTCCTGACATGGGCAGGGGTCCCCTCTCCCTTCTGGGCTGGTCCCTGCCCCAGTTTGGAGCAGAGTCCTGACGGGCGTCTCCCACCACCACAGGTCCGAGGGCTGGACATGAAGCTCCATCATACCCAGAAAGTGCTGAGGACCCATGAGGAGATGCAGAAGAAGATAAAAGAGGTGAGATTTACAGTTTATTTCTCACCCTTGCTGTGACTGCAACAACACCAACTCAAACACCACTGCTGCTGTCCCCAGGTCCTGTCGGCTGTCCCTGAGGTGGCTCTGGGTTGCCAGGAGCTCCAGAGCCTGCTGCACTACCTGGGCCTGAAGCCAGCCAGCAAGGAAGCTGCCGAGCCGCTATAGCCTGTAGCCTGAAACCTTTCCTGTTTTTAATGTTGTAATTATTTATTGAATAAAGTTGTGTTGGCTGTTACCCTGCCTGCTGCTGCGTGCATTCAGGAAGCTCCTGGTGCTGTGGGTGGGGACAACTTGTCCAGCCTGTGCCGGTTGCTCCTGTTCCGTCACGGGGCTGTGGGCACAGCTCCCTGCTACCCCCAGGGCCTCTCCTTCTTGGCAGGGGACACATCCCCCCCTCTCTGCCAGTGCTTGCTCTCAATAAGGGACCGTGTTCCCCAGGCTCCCACCCTGCGGCCTCGGCAGCAGCCAGAGGGCCCGGGCTGAGCTAGCTTCCCTCCCCTGCTCCCTGCTCCTCCTCCTGCCCTAGATTCCCTCCGTGCCCTGCTCTGCAGGGGCTTGTCTGGACCCTGCACCCCATCCTGGGGCTGCGGGCATGAGCCTGTTGCGTGGAACTTGTTCCAGAGGTTGGATTCCTCACCTTATCACAGGGATGGTTCCAGAGGTTGGATCCTGCACCCCTATCACGGGGCTGTGGGCACATGCCTGTTGCACGGGGATGTTTCCCCCTCCCAGCCTGGCTCCAGCACGCAGCATCCCATGGCTGAGCCAGCGCCGGGAGCTCTGCCAGCTCCTGCTCCCAACCCCCCTTGGTCGCTGCTGCATGGGGGGGGGGGGCTCCCTTAGGGGGCTCCCCAGCTCCCAGCACAGCTCCAACCTCACCTCCCTTCTTCCCTGCTGGGGCAGTTCCTGCGGGATCCCCCTCCCGGTGTTCCTGACCCCAAGGATGCTCCCCACCACCACGGGGACCACGCGGCACCTTCCCTCCCCTGCCATGGCTCAAAATAGCAGCACTCCAACAAGTGCTCTGGTTTTTAATGGCCTCTTTCTCCTGCCCAAGGGGGATGGAAATCACCTTCCCCTGCCCTCTGCCACAGCCCTGCCGCTCTGTGTGGGGCGGGGTCCGTGACACGTGGGGCGCTGGCACCGATTTATCTACCCGGGAAATGTTTGGGGCTGTGCCTCCATGTCCTGGGTGCGTGGGTGGCTCGTGGGGAAGCAGTGCCCTCTGCTCCCTGGCACTGCCTTCCTCGCTGCCCTGTGACCCCGCGGGGTCGGGTACAGCCTCCCGAGGTGCAAGGCCGGCCGTGGGGGGCCCCTGCTCTGGGATGTGGGGAGATGTGCTCCCTTCCCTGGATCGGGGCCATGCAGGGTGGCTGAACCTCCTTTTAGGGCGGGATTCGGCACGGCGGGGCCCTGGCAGCCGTCCCCGTGGGGCGAGTGGGGACACTGGTATTGTCCCCGTGCCGGCTGCGGGTGGGTTTTTAGGGGGGTTTGTCTCCTCTGAGTGTCCCCACCCTGTCCTGGAGGGTCTGGGGCTCAGTGCTGCTGGCTCCTGGGCACAGAGGTGACCTAGATGTGGTATCCTGTACAGTAACAGTGACCCCAGCCTGGGGGTGGCACAAGGGGGTCCCTGGCCCAGGGGGGATGAAAAAAAAGTCTGATTTTAGATAATAGTGGGAATAGGGGGCACAGCCTGGGGGTGGCACGGAGGGGTCGCTGTCCTTAGTTGGCAGCAGCAATAGGGGGGCACAGCAGGGTCCCCAGCAGCAGCAGGGGGGGTGTCAGAGGTCCTGGGGGTGGTGGGACAGAGGGGTCTCCAGCAGCAACTGGAGATGGCACAGCGGAGTGGCTTGGGTGGCATGAGGGGGCCTTCCCACGACAAGGGGTGACTCAGCTGTGTCCCTGGGCGGTGGCAGGGGGGGCACAGAGGGGTCCCCATCACCAGCAAGGCGTTGCAAAGGGGTGACACAGTGGGGTCCCCAGCCTGGCATTGTCACCTTAGGGTCGCCATGAGCGCGGGGGTTGTCGCCTGCGGGGGGGCACGACCCCGGTGGGTGAGGGGGCTGTGGCCGGCGGGGGGAGCGGGCGGTGGCGGGGGCGGGCCGGGGCGGGGCATGGGGCCGGTCCTGCCCGGTGCCGCCCCGCCGGTCACGTAGCTCTGCGGCACCGCAGCCACATTTACCGCGGGGCCGGAGCGCGCAGCCCGCAGTCCGTACTCGTCGCCGCCGCCCGACACGGTACTGGGGAGCCGGGGGTCGGGGAGAGCCGAGGGGCCGGGGGGAGCTGCTGGGGGGACAGCCGGGGGGGCCCGGCGGCGGGAGGCGGCAGCCCCGCCGAGCCTCCCGGGTGTCTCCGTGCGGCATCCCGGGGCTCGGTCCGCGCTGGGGGGGCTCCAGGGCAGAGAGACCCCCGGGCATGGGGGTATTGGGGGTTTGGGGGGACCCAGGATACTCCTGCTGCGCTGGCGGAGCTCGAGTTTCTACGGTGCCGGCCGGGGGATCGAGCGCCCCGGCTCCTGGGGGCATCACCGGCCCCGCGACGGCGCCAGCCCCGGGGAATCGCCATCCTTGGAGTACCCCGAACTTTGGGTACCTCCATCCCCCGGCTGTGCCGCCCTGGGGCGGCTCCGTCCCCCATTCCCGGGCTATTTCCGTCCCCCCGGTATCCCCACGCCCGTGTTATCGTCATCGCCCGCGTATCCTCCCCGCGGGTTATTCCCGACTATGGAGTATCTCCGTCTCCGGGGTACCCTAAAGTCCGGGTAACTCCAGACTCAGGTAGTGCCTCCCTGGGGTTTCTCTTTCCCCTTTTCCTGGAGTATTTCCGCCCCCCCGGCACCCCCATCCCCGGGCTGTTTCCGTTCCTCGCGGGGTATTCCCATCCCCTGGGCACCCCCATCCCGGTCCCCTCGTATCCTGCGTGGGTCCCCTCGGAGCCGCGCTCCCTCAAGATGGCTGGGCTGGGGGCGGGCTGGCAGGCAGCAAAATGGCTGGGAGCTGCCCGGCATCCTCCACGATCCCTGCCACGAGGCTTACACAACGTGCCCTGGCCGGTGGGGTCGGGCTGCCAGCCCCGTGGGGGTCCCCACTCCCCGGGGAAGGGGCTCGGTGTGGTTTCGGGGTGTCGCCCCGCTGGTGCGTGACTCAGTCCCCGTCCGCTCGCAGCCACCGCCACCATGACGCACCAACACCCCGCGCTGACGGCCGAGCAGAAGAAGGAGCTGTCTGACATCGCACAGCGGATCGTGGCCCCGGGGAAGGGCATCCTGGCAGCCGATGAGTCCGTAGGTCAGTTTGGGGGGGGAATCTGTCCTGCCACCCCTTTTCCCCTTGCCAGATGGAGGCTGACGAGGGTGCTGGGTGCTTGCAGGGAGCATGGCCAAGCGCCTCAACCAGATTGGGGTGGAAAACACGGAGGAGAATCGCCGGCTGTACCGCCAGATCCTCTTCAGCGCCGACAGCCGGGTGAAGAAATGCATCGGGGGCGTCATCTTCTTCCACGAGACCATGTACCAGAAGGCTGATGATGGCACCCCCTTCGTCCAGATGATCAAGGACAAGGGCATCGTTGTGGGCATCAAGGTGTGGGGGGGTGTCCTGGTGGGTTTGTGGGGTGCTGAGGGTGCTTGGGGGGTGCTGGTGAGACTCAGCGCTGCCTTCCTCTCATTCCACAGGTGGACAAGGGTGTTGTGCCTCTGGCCGGGACTGATGGCGAGACCACCACGCAGGGTAGGAGCTGTGGGGTTTGGAGCCAGGGGGTTTGGGACTGGAGGGTTTGGGTCCATGGGGTTTGTGGCTGTGGGGCTGACGTGGTGCCCCCCAGGTCTGGATGGGCTGTGGGAGCGCTGTGCCCAGTACAAGAAGGACGGGGCAGACTTTGCCAAGTGGCGCTGCGTGCTGAAGATCAGCGAGCACACTCCCTCCTCGCTCGCCATCATGGAGAACGCCAACGTCCTGGCCCGCTATGCCAGCATCTGCCAGCAGGTACGTGCCTGCTGCTGTCACCCAGCAGGGTGGGCAGTGACCTGTAGGGTGGGTATTGACTTGTGTGGGCAGGCATTGCCCCGTGGGGGTGGGCACGCATCTGTGAGGCTCAGCACTGCGCCTGTGCAGTGCTGATGATCCCTGGGGATCATCCCCAGCGGCTGGACATAACCCGTGTTGGGTAACACCTCACGTGGGTGGGCATGGGGCATTGCCCCGTGGCACGGGCATCACCCATAGGGTCAGGTGTCAATCCGTGGGGCCAGGCGTTGCTGCGTGCACCTCACAAACCTGGACATTACCCCATAGGGCTGAGAAATTACTCCTAGCTTGGGCATCCCCCGTGGGGCTGGGCCTTGAGCCTCGGGGCTGAGCAGTGCTCACAGGTCTGAGCGTTGTGCCATGTAGCCATGGGGCTGAGGGGTGCCCAGGGACATCACTGTGATGGCATCTGCTGTCGTGCTGTTTGCAGAACGGCATTGTGCCCATCGTGGAGCCGGAGATCCTGCCTGATGGTGACCACGATCTCAAGAGGTGCCAGTATGTCACGGAGAAGGTGAGTGCTGGGGTGGCAGCAGGGCGGGCACCGTGCTGTGCCATGCCATGCCAGGGGACTCCACGCTGCCTGTCCTCCCCAGGTGCTGGCAGCTGTCTACAAGGCACTGAGCGACCACCACATCTACCTGGAGGGGACCCTGCTGAAGCCCAACATGGTGACCCCTGGGCACTCCTGCCCCACCAAGTACAGCCCGGAGGAGATCGCCATGGCCACCGTCACCGCCCTGCGCCGCACCGTGCCCCCAGCCGTGCCAGGTACCAGCCCTGGCGTGTGGCAGAGACCAGGAGAGCCATACCCTGTGTCCCCTGCCGTGCCGTAACCCTGCTCTCCACAGGTGTCACCTTCCTGTCTGGGGGTCAGAGTGAGGAGGAGGCTTCCATCAACCTCAACGCCATCAACACGTGCCCGCTGGTGCGGCCATGGGCCCTCACCTTCTCCTACGGGCGGGCGCTGCAGGCGTCGGCGCTCAGCGCCTGGCGCGGGCAGAAGGACAACGCCGACGCTGCCACCGAGGAGTTTGTCAAGCGTGCAGAGGTGACGGGGGTGGCCCTCCTGGGAGGGGACTGCCAAGGGCTGGGCTGCTGGGGACACCGAGGACTGTGTGCCCTTGGGAGGAGGGGTGGCTGAGGACTGTGTCCCACAGGCTGAGAGAGGAGAACACCAAGGGCTGTGCCCCGTAGGATGCCAAGGA